CTCACGTGGGTATCAGAATTTGTCTTCCTGGGACTCTCACAGACTCGAGAGCTCCAGCTTTTCCTGTTTCTGGTGTTCCTGTTTGTCTATACCACCACTGTCGTGGGAAACCTCCTCATCATGGTCACGGTGACCTCAGACACACGGCTCCACACACCCATGTACTTTCTGCTCCGAAATCTGGCTGTCTTAGACCTCTGTTTCTCCTCTGTCACTGCCCCAAAGATGCTGGTGGACTTCCTCTCTGAGAAGAAAACCATCTCCTACCAGGGCTGCATGGCCCAGATCTTCTTCTTCCACTTTCTGGGAGGCGCCATGGTCTTCTTCCTCTCAGTCATGGCCTATGACCGCCTTGTTGCCATCTCCCGACCCCTCCACTATGTGACCATCATGAACACACAGCTCTGTGTGGGACTTGTGGTGGCTAGCTGGATAGGAGGATTCGTCCATTCCATTGCCCAACTGGCTCTGATGCTCCCGTTGCCTTTCTGTGGCCCCAATGTCCTGGATAACTTCTACTGTGATGTCCCACAAGTGCTGAGACTTGCCTGCACTGACACCACCCTCCTGGAGTTCCTCATGATCTCCAACAGTGGACTGCTGGATGTCATCTGGTTCTTTCTCCTCCTGACCTCCTACTCAGTCATCCTGGTGATGCTGAGGTCCCACTCTGGGCAGGCGAGGAGGAAGGCAGCTTCCACTTGCACCACCCACATCGTCGTGGTGTCTATGGTTTTCATTCCAAGCATTTACCTCTATGCCCGGCCCTTCACCCCCTTCTCCATGGACAAGGCTGTGTCCATCAGCCACACGGTCATGACCCCAATGCTCAACCCCATGATCTACACCCTGAGGAACCAGGAGGTGCAGGCAGCAGTGAAGAGACTAGGGAGGCGCCGGCTGGTTTGTAAAAGGGAGTGACAATGAGTGGGTCACTTCTCTCTGGCTTTGTTTTCCATTTGTAAAGTGGAGGGAAAGCTACTGTGTCTGCTGGCTATCTTCATAGCCTGTGCATATGTTGTGGAGGTCATCATAGAAGTGAGTGAGTTTTGAAACTAAGCAACTGCCTCAGATTTTTGGGAAAAAGGGAAAAGTCCCCTTTGGTGGCTAAGGTTTGTGCCAGGTTTCTAAAACCCCTGCTCATTGAGAAGTGTTCTCATGACTCTGGAAAGCTACACCCTTCTTTCCCCCTTCCTGGGGGGTCGTTTCCTCTTGTGATCAGGGCATTTCCCCCAGCGAAGGCACTTCTAGTTTGTGTTTTGACTTCTCTTCCCAGCACCCCTTTTGACCTGTGTCCAGAGTGTTAGAGAAAGCACAGACCTTGAAGACATAGCCTTAGCTTGGGAGCCCTTGACCCATATGTTACCAGACTGCTGACCTTGGATAAGCTACCTGGCCTCTCTTGAACTCATGGATTCCTCCTCACCAAACTGGCATAAAGCAATATCTGTCCCAATAATCTCACAGATTTGTTATAAGATCTAAAACGTGTATAAGAATATTTTATCAACCTTATATAGAACCTATGTGAGGGTTATTGTCATTGTTATGATTATTCCTGACATGTATTTTTTCATGGGTTGAGCAGTGTTTTGGAAGTGTTTGGTGGCGATTCCTCAGTGTGGTGAGGGAGGCATGGAGAGGGTGGGAGCTGAACT